ATACCACAGAAGGTTAAAAGGAATCAGACCTAATAGCTTATATCTGCTATACTTAGGAATGAACGCATTCTATCTGAATGCCACAATGTTCATATTACAGATTCCCCAATCTCATTCGTGGCTTCATTTTCGTATTTAATTCAACTCCCAATCTCATTCGGGCCCAACAATAACCAAATAAAGCATATTATATATGTGAAAACATGATTCATTTTTTACCCCGAGTGGGACTTGAACCTAGGACTTATAAATACTAAGTCAAGGCACTACCAACTACACCTATTAACCTTCTGTGGTGTAGTTGTTAGTGCCTTGACTTAGTAATTATAAGTCCTAGGTTCTAGTCCCGGTCAGGGTAAAAAATGATTCATGTTTTCACATATGTAATGTGCTTATTTGGGTATTGTTGGGCCCGAATGAGATTGGGAGTTGAATTAAATGCGAAAATGAAGCCACGAGTGAGGTTGGGGAATATGTAATATGAACACAGTGGCATTCAGATAGAATGCATTCATTCCTAAGTATAGCAGATATAAGCTATAAGGTTTGATTCCTTTTAACCATCTGTGGTGTAGTTGATATTGTCTTGACTTAGTAATTATACATTTTAAGTTCAAGTCCCGGTCGAGGTAAAAATTGATTCATGTTTTCACATATGTAATATGCTTATTTGGTTATTGTGAGGCCCGAATGAGATTGCGAGTTCAATTAAATGCGAAAATGAAGCCACGAGTGAGGTTGAGGAATCTGTAATATGAACATAGTGGCATTCAGAATGAATGCGTTTATTCCTAAGTATAGAAGATATAAGGTAGAAGGTCTGATTGCTTTTAACCTTCTGTGGTGTAGTTGGTAGCGCCTTGACTTAGTAATTATAAGTCCTCGGTTCAAGTCCCGGCCGGGGTAAAAATATGATTCATATATATATATATAATTATATATATATATATATATATATATATATATATATATATATATATATATATATATATATATATATATATATATATATATATATATATATATATATATATATATATATATATATATATATATATAAAACCAAATAAGAACATTACATATGTGAAAACATGAATCATTTTTTTTACAACAACCGGGACTTGAACCTAGGACTTATAATACTAAGTCAAGGCCGCTACCAACTACACCACAGAAGGTTAAAAGGAATCAGACCTAATAGCTTATATCTGCTATACTTAGGAATGAACGCATTCTATTTGAATGCCACAGTGTTCATATTACAGATTCCCCAACCTCATTCGTGGCTTCATTTTCGCATTTAATTTTACTCCCAATCTCATTCGGGCCCAACAATAACCAAATAAAGCACATTATATATGTGAAAACATGATTCATTTTTTACCCCGACCAGGACTTGAACCTAGGACTTATAAATACTAAGTCAAGGCACTACCAACTACACCTATTAACCTTCTGTGGTGTAGTTGGTAGTGCCTTGACTTAGTAATTATAAGTCCTAGGTTCAAGTCCCGTCCGGGGTAAAAAAATGATTCATATATATATATATATATATATATATATATATATATATATATATATATATATATATATATATATATATATATATATATATATATATATATATATATATATATATATATATATATATAAAACCAAATAAACACATTACATATGTGAAAACATGAATCATTTTTTTTAACCCAACCGGGACTTGAACCTAGGACTTATAATACTAAGTCAAGGTGCTACCAACTACACCACAGAAGATTAAAAGGAATCAGACATAATAGCTTATATCTGCTATACTTAGGAATGAACGCATTCTATCTGAATGCCACTATGTTCATATTACAGATTCCCCAACCTCATTAGTAGCTTCATTTTCGCATTTAATTCAACTCCCAATCTCATTCGGGCCCAACAATATCCAAATAAGCACATTATATATGTGAAAACATGATTAATTTTTTACCCCGACCGGGACTTGAACCTAGGACTTATAATTACTTAGTCAAGGCACTACCAACTACACCTATTAACCTTCTGTGGTGTAGTTGGCAGTGCCTTGACTCATGTTTTCACATATGTAATGTGCTTATTTGGTTATTGTTGGGCCCGAATGAGATTGGGAGTTGAATTAAATGCGAAAATGAAGCCACGAGCGAGGTTGGGGAATATGTAATATGAACACAGTGGCATTCAGATAGAATGTATTCATTCCTAAGAAGAGCAGATATAAGCTATAAGGTTTGATTCCTTTTAACCTTCTGTGGTGTAGTTGATAGCACCTTGACTTAGTAACTATAAGTCCTAGGTTCTAGTACCAGTTGGGGTAAAAAATTATGTTTTCACATATATAATGTGCTTATTTGGTTTTTGTTGGGACCGAATGAGATTGGAAGTTAACTTAAATACGAAAATGATGCCATGAGTGAGTTTGGGGAATCTGTAATATGACCATAGTGGCCTTCAGATAGAATGCATTCATTCCTAAATATAGCAGATATAAGCTATAAGGTCTGATTCCTTTTAACCATCTGTGGTGTAGTTGTTAATGTCTTGACTTAGTAATTATACATTTTAAGCTCAAGTCCCGGTCGGGGGAAAAATTGATTCATGTTTTCACAAATTTAATGTGCTTATTTGGTTATTGTCAGGCCCGAATGAGATTGCGAGTTGAAATAAATGCGAAAATGAAGCCACGAGTGAGGTTGAGGAATCTGTAATATGAACATAGTGGCTTTCAGAATGAATGCGGTCATTCCTAAGTATAGAAGATATAAGGTATAAGGTCTGATTGCATTTAGCCTTCTGTGGTGTAGTTGGTAGCACCTTGACTTAGTAATTATAAGTCCAAGGTTCAAGTCCCGGCGGGGGTAAAAATATGATTCATATATATATGTATATATATATATATATATATATATATATATATATATATATATATATATATATATATATATATATATATATATATATATATATATATATATATATATATATATATATAAAACCAAATAAGCACATTACATATGTGAAAACATGAATCATTTTTTTACAACAACCGGGACTTCAACCTAGGACTTATAATACTAAGCCAAGGTGCTACCAACTATACCACAGAAGGTTAAAAGGAATCAGACCTAATAGCTTATATCTGCTATACTTAGGAATGAACGCATTCTATCTGAATGCCACAATGTTCATATTACAGATTCCCCAACCTCATTCGTGGCTTCATTTTCGCATTTAATTCAACTCCCAATCTCATTCGTGCCCAACAATAACCAAATAAAGCACATTATATATGTGAAAACATGATTCATTTTTTACCCCGAGTGGGACTTGAACCTAGGACTTATAAATACTAAGTCAAGGCACTACCAACTACACCTATTAACCTTTTGTGGTGTAGTTGGTAGTGCCTTGGCTTAGTAATTATAAGTCCTAGGTTCTAGTCCCGGTCAGGGTAAAAAATGATTCATGTTTTCACATATGTAATGAGCTTATTTGGTTATTGTTGGGCACGAATGAGATTGGGAGTTGAATTAAATGCGAAAATGAAGCCACGAGTGAGGTTGGGGAATCTGTAATATGAACACAGTGGCATTTAGATAGAATGCATTCATTCCTAAGTATAGCAGATATAAGCTATAAGGTTTGATTCCTTTTAACCATCTGTGGTGTAGTTGATATTGTCTTGACTTAGTAATTATACATTTTAAGTTCAAGTCCCGGTCGAGGTAAAAATTGATTCATGTTTTCACATATGTAATATGCTTATTTGGTTATTGTCAGGCCCGAATGAGATTGCGAGTTGAATTAAATGCAAAAATGAAGCCACGAGTGAGGTTGAGGAATCTGTAATATGAACATAGTGGCATTCAGAATGAATGCATTTATTCCTTAGTATAGAAGATATAAGGTAGAAGGTCTGATTGCTTTTAACCTTCTGTGGTGTAGTTGGTAGCTCCTTGACTTAGTAATTATAAGTCCTAGGTTCAAGTCCCGCCCGGGGTAAAAATATGATTCATATATATATATATATATATATATATATATATATATATATATATATATATATATATATATATATATATTTAACCAAATAAGCACATTACATATGTGAAAACATGAATCAATTTTTTTTACAACAACCGGGACTTGAACCTAGGACTTATAATACTAAGTCAAGGTGCTACCAACTATACCACAGAAGGTTAAAAGGAATCAGACCTAATAGCTTATATCTGCTATACTTAGGAATGAACGCATTCTATCTGAATGCCACAATGTTCATATTACAGATTCCCCAACCTCATTCGTGGCTTCATTTTCGCATTTAATTCAACTCCCAATCTCATTCGGGCCTAACAATAACCAAATAAAGCACATTATATATATGAAAACATGATTCATTTTTTACCCCGAGTGGGACTTGAACCTAGGACTTATAAATACTAAGTCAAGGCACTACCACCTACACCTATTAACCTTCTGTGGTGTAGTTGGTAGTGCCTTGACTTAGTAATTATAAGTCCTAGGTTCTAGTCCTGGTCAGGGTAAGAAATGATTCATGTTTTCACATATGTAATGTGCTTATTTGGTTATTGTTGAGCCCGAATGAGATTGCGAGTTGAATTAAATGCGAAAATGAAGCCACGAGTGAGGTTGAGGAATCTGTAATATGAACATAGTGGCATTCAGAATGAATGCGTTAATTCCTAAGTATAGAAGATATAAGGTATAAGGTCTGATTGCCTTTAACCTTCTTTGGTGTAGTTGGTAGCGCCTTGACTTAGTCATTATAAGCCCTAGGTTCAAGTCCCGGCCGGGGTAAATATATGATTCATATATATATATATATATATATATATATAAATATATATATATATATATATATATATATATATATATATATATATATATATATATATATATATATATATAAAACCAAATAAGCACATTACATATGTGAAAACATGAATCATTTTTTTTACAACAACTGGGACTTGAACCTAGGACTTATAATACTAATTCAAGGTGCTACCAACTACACCACAGAAGTTTAAAAGGAATCAGACCTAATAGCTTATATCTGCTATATTTAGGAATGAACGCATTCTATTTGAATGCCACAATGTTCATATTACAGATTCCCCAACCTCATTCGTGGCTTCATTTTCGCATTTAATTCAACTCCCAATCTCATTCGGGCCCAACAATAACCAAATAAAGCACATTATATATGTGAAAACATGATTCATTTTTTACCCCGACCGGGACTTGAACCTAGGACTTATAAATACTAAGATAAGGCACTACCAACTACACCTATTAACCTTCTGTGGTGTAGTTGGTAGTGCCTTGACTTAGTAATTATAAGTCCTAGGTTCAAGTCCCGGCCTGGGTAAAAAAATGATTCATATATATATATATATATATATATATATATATATATATATATATATAAATATGTTCCGGTTCCGGTTTTACGTCACGGACTCCCTTATCAACCAAGGGCTAGGACGGTTGCCTTCTTGCGATGGACTTGTTTTGGCAAATGTAATCCTTACGCTGAGTGCATATATATATATATATATATATATATATATATATATATATATATATATATATATATATATATATAACCAAATAAGCACTTTACATATGTGAAAACATGAATCAATATTTTTACCACAACCGGGACTTGAAGCTAGGACTTATAATACTAAGTCAAGGTGCTACCAAGTACATCACAGAAGGTTAAAAGGAATCAGACCTAATAGCTTATATCTGCTATACTTAGGAATGAACGCATTCTATCTGAATGCCACTATGTTCATATTACAGATTCCACAACCTCATTCGTGGCTTCATTTTCGCATTTAATTCAACTCCCAATCTCATTCGGGCCCAACAATAACCAAATAAGTACATTATATATGTGAAAACATGATTCATATTTTACCCCGACCGGGACTTGAACTTAGGACTTATAATTACTAAGTCAAGGCACTACCAACTACACCTATTAACCTTCTGTGATGTAGTTGGTAGTGCCTTGACTTAGTAATTATAAGTCCTAGGTTCTAGTCCCGGTCAGGGTAAAAAATGATTCATGTTTTCACATATGTAATGTGCTTATTTGGTTATTGTTGGGCCCGAATGAGATTGAGCGTTGAATTAAATGCGAAAATGAAGCCAAGAGTGAGGTTGAGGAATCTGTAATATGAACACAGTGGCATTCAGATAGAATGCATTCATTCCTAAGTATAGCAGATATAAGCTATAAGGTTTGATTCCTTTTAACCTTCTGTGGTGTAGTTGATAGCACCTTGACTTAGTAATTATAAGTCATAGGTACAAGTCCCGTCAGGGGTAAAAAAATGATTCATATATATATATATATATATATATATATATATATATATATATATATATATATATATATATATATATATATATATATATATATATATATATAAACAAATAATCCCATTACATATGTGAAAGCATGAATCAATTTTTTTGCCACAACCGGGACTTGAACCTAGGACTTATAATACTAAGTCAAGGTGCTACCAACTACACCACAGAAGGTTAAAAGGAATCAGACCTAATAGCTTATATCTGCTATACTTAGGAATGAATGCATTCTATCTGAATGCCACTATGTTCTTATTACAGATTCCACAACCTCATTCGTGGCTTCATTTTCACATTTAATTCAACTCCCAATCTCATTCGGGCCCAGCAATAACCAAATAAGCACATTATATATGTGAAAACATGATTCATATTTTACCCCGACCGGGACTTGTACCTAGGACTTATAATTACTAAGTCAAGGCATTACCAACTACACCTATTAACCTTCTATGGTGTAGTTGGTAGTGCCTTGACTTAGTAATTATAAGTCCTAGGTTCTTGTCCCGGTCAGGGTAAAAAATGATTCATGTTTTCACATATGTAATGTGCTTATTTGGTTATTGTTGGGCCCGAATGAGATTGGGAGTTGAATTAAATGCGAATATGAAGCCACGAGTGTAAAATGAACACATTGGCATTCAGATAGAATGCATTCATTCCTAAGTATAGCAGATATAACTATAAGGTTTGATTCCTTTTAACCTTCTCTGGTGTAGTTGATAGCACCTTGACTTAGTAATTATACGTCCTAGGTTCAAGTCCCGTCAGGGGTAAAAAAATGATTCATATATATATATATATAATATATATATATATATATATATATATATATATATATATATATATATATATATATATATATATATATATATATATATATATATATATATATATAATCAAATAAGCACATTACATATGTGAAAACATGAATCATTTTTTTTAACCCAACCGGGACTTGAACCTAGGACTTATAATACTAAGTCAAGGTGCTACCAACTACACCACAGAAAATTAAAAGGAATCAGACCTAATAGCTTATATCTGCTATACTTAGGAATGAACGCATTCTATCTGAATGCCACTATGTTCATATTACAGATTCCCCAACCTCATTCGTATCTTCATTTTCGCATTAAATTCAACTCCCAATCTCATTCGGGCCCAACAATAACCAAATAAGCACATTATATATGTGAAAACATGATTCATTTTTTACCCCGACCGGGACTTGAACCTAGGACTTATAATTACTTAGTCAAGGCACTACCAACTACACCTATTAACCTTCTGTGGTGTAGTTGGTAGTGCCTTGACTCAGTAATTATAAGTCCTAGGTTCTAGTCCCGGTCAGGGTAAAAAATGATTCATGTTTTCACATATGTAATGTGCTTATTTGGTTATTGTTGGGCTCGAATGAGATTGGGAGTTGAAATAAATGCGAAAATGAAGGCACGAGTGAGGTTGGGGAATATGTAATATGAACACAGTGGCATTCAGATAGAATGTATTCATTCCTAAGAAGAGCAGATATAAGCTATAAGGTTTGATTCCTTTTAACCTTCTGTGGTGTAGTTGATAGCACATTGACTTAGTAACTATAAGCCCTAGGTTCTAGTCCCAGTTGGGGTAAAAAATTATGTTTTCACATATATAATGTGCTTATTTGGTTTTTGTTGGGACCGAATGAGATTGGAAGTTAACTTAAATATGAAAATGATGCCATGAGTGATTTTGGGGAATCTGTAATATGACCATAGTGGCCTTCAGATAGAATGCATTCATTCCTAAATATAGCAGATATAAGCTATAAGGTCTGATTCATTTTAACCATCTGTTGTGTAGTTGATAATGTCTTGACTTAGTAATTATGCATTTTAAGTTCAAGTCCCAGTCGGGGTAAAAATTTATTCATGTTTTCACATATGTAATGTGCTTATTTGGTTATTGTCAGGCCCGAATGAGATTGCGAGTTCAATTAAATGCGAAAATGAAGCTACGAGTGAGGTTGAGTAATCTGTAATATGAACATAGTGGCTTTCAGAATGAATGCGGTCATTCCTAAGTATAGAAGATATAAGGTATAAGGTCTGATTGCATTTAGCCTTCTGTGGTGTAGTTGGTAGCGCCTTGACTTTGTAATTATAAGTCCAAGGGTCAAGTCCCGGCCGGGGTAAAAATATGATTCATATATATATATATATATATATATATATATATATATATATATATATATATATATATATATATATATATATATATATATATATATATATATATTTATATATATAACCAAATAAGCACATTACATATGTGAAAACATGAATCAATTTTTTTTACAACAACCGGGACTTGAACCTAGGACTTATAATACTAAGTCAAGGTGCTACCAACTATACCACAGAAGGTTAAAAGGAATCAGACCTAATAGCTTATATCTGCTATACTTAGGAATGAACGCATTCTATCTGAATGCCACAATGTTCATATTACAGATTCCCCAACCTCATTCGTGGCTTCATTTTCGCATTTAATTCAACTCCCAATCTCATTCGGGCCTAACAATAACCAAATAAAGCACATTATATATATGAAAACATGATTCATTTTTTACCCCGAGTGGGACTTGAACCTAGGACTTATAAATACTAAGTCAAGGCACTACCACCTACACCTATTAACCTTCTGTGGTGTAGTTGGTAGTGCCTTGACTTAGTAATTATAAGTCCTAGGTTCTAGTCCCGGTCAGGGTAAGAAATGATTCATGTTTTCACATATGTAATGTGCTTATTTGGTTATTGTTGAGCCCGAATGAGATTGCGAGTTGAATTAAATGCGAAAATGAAGCCACGAGTGAGGTTGAGGAATCTGTAATATGAACATAGTGGCATTCAGAATGAATGCGTTAATTCCTAAGTATAGAAGATATAAGGTATAAGGTCTGATTGCCTTTAACCTTCTTTGGTGTAGTTGGTAGCGCCTTGACTTAGTCATTATAAGCCCTAGGTTCAAGTCCCGGCCGGGGTAAATATATGATTCATATATATATTATATAATATATATATATATATATATATTATATATATATATATATATATATATATATATATATATATATATATATATAAATATATATATATATATATATATATATATATATATATATATATATATATATATATATATATATATATATATATATATATAATATATATATATATATATATATATATATATATATATATATATATATATATATATATATATATATATATATATATATATATATATATATATATATATAAAACCAAATAAGCACATTACATATGTGAAAACATGAATCATTTTTTTTACAACAACCGGGACTTGAACCTAGGACTTATAATACTAATTCAAGGTGCTACCAACTACACCACAGAAGTTTAAAAGGAATCAGACCTAATAGCTTATATCTGCTATATTTAGGAATGAACGCATTCTATTTGAATGCCACAATGTTCATATTACAGATTCCCCAACCTCATTCGTGGCTTCATTTTCGCATTTAATTCAACTCCCAATCTCATTCGGGCCCAACAAAAACCAAATAAAGCACATTATATATGTGAGAACATGATTCATTTTTTACCCCGACCGGGA